CGACTTGTTTGACACATGTCATTGTATCCCAATTGCGTAGACGGATGCTTATGATATTGATCACTGGATTGTCCGGTCCAGACTGGGTGCGGCGTTAAACAAACAAACAAACAAACAAACAAACCAATCCGAAGAAGAAGGCAAAGTCTCTTCCTTCATTTGGCTAGGTGATGGCTTCTTGTTTGTGGGATTAAAAAAATCGGATGAGATCTGTGTTGAAAAATAATTTGCAACCAGCTACATCAGCACCCTCCATCGTAGTTAAACTCGTCTCTTAGTCGTCCCTCATATAATGCCACGATCATAATAGGAAGGCATTTGAAAAAAAGTTTTGAAAGTTTATATAGGTCACTCCCGGTAACCTGGCACCTCAATACCGGGATCACTCTCACATGCCCACCACCTGCCCTAGCAGTGATGTTACTGTCTGTTGACTTGATACTCACATATCGTTGTATCACTCTCACATGCCCACCACCTGCCCTAGCCGTGATGTCACTGTCTGTTGACTTGATACACACATATCGTGGTACCACTCTCACATGCCCACCACCTGCCCTAGCCGTGATGTTACTGTCTGTTGACTTGATACTCCGATATCGTTGTATCACTCTCACATGCCCACCACCTGCCCTAGCCGTGATGTCACTGTCTGTTGACTTGATACACACATATCGTTGTATCACTCTCACATGCCCACCACCTGCCCTAGCAGTGATGTTACTGTCTGTTGACTTGATACACACATATCGTGGTACCACTCTCACATGCCCACTAACCGCCCTAGCCGTGATGTCACTGTCTGTTGACTTCATACACACATATCGTGGTACCACTCTCACATGCCCACCACCTGCCCTAGCCGTGATGTTACTGTCTGTAGACTTGATACACACATATCGTGGTACCACTCTCACATGCCCGACACCTGCCCTAGCCGTGATGTTACTGTCTGTTGACTTGATACACACATATCGTGGTACCACTCTCACATGCCCACCACCTGCCCTAGCAGTGATGTCACTGTCTGTTGACTTCATACACACACATCGTGGTACCAGTCTCACATGCCCGACACCTGCCCTAGCCGTGATGTTACTGTCTGTTGACTTGATACACACATATTGTGGTACCACTCTCACATGACCATCACCTGCCCTAGCAGTGATGTCACTGTCTGTTGACTTCATACACACATATCGTGGTACCACTCTCACATGCCCACCACCTGCCCTAGCCGTGATGTTACTGTCTGTAGACTTGATACACACATATCGTGGTACCACTCTCACATGCCCACCACCTGCCCTAGCGGCAATGTTACTGTCTGTTGACTTGATAAACACATATCATGGTATCACTCTCACATGCCCACCACCTGCCCTAGCCGTGATGTTACTGTCTGTTGACTTGATACACACATATCATGGTACCACTCTCACATGCCCACCACCTTCCCTAGCCGTGATGTTACTGTCTGTTGACTTGATACTCACATATCGTGGTACTACTCTCACATGACCACCACCTGCCCTAGCCGTGATGTTACTGTCTGTTGACGTGATACACACATATCGTGGTACCACTCTCACATGCCCACCACCTGCCCTAGCCGTGATGTTACTGTCTGTTGACTTGATACACACATATCGTGGTACCACTCTCACATGCCCACCACCTGCCCTAGCCGTGATGTTACTGTCTGTTGACTTGATACACACATATCGTGATACCACTCTCACATGCCCACCACCTGCCCTAGCCGTGATGTCACTGTCTGTTGACTTGATACACACATATCGTGGTACCACTCTCACATGCCCACCACCTGCCCTAGCCGTGATGTTACTGTCTGTTGACTTGATACACACATATCGTGGTACCACTCTCACATGCCCACTACCTGCCCTAGCTGTGATGTCACTGCCTGTTGACTTGATACACACATATCGTGGTACCACTCTCACATGCCCACTACCTGCCCTAGCTGTGATGTCACTGTCTGTTGACTTGATACACACATATCGTGGTACCACTCTCACATGCCCACCACCTGCCCTAGCAGTGATGTCACTGTCTGTTGACTTGATACACACATATCTTTATATGAGTTGAAGTTTTACTTCATGAGCGGAACCCGCGAAGGTCCGGGTTAAAATGAACCTTCAGTAACCCATGCTTGTCGTAAGAGGCGACTAACGGGATCGGGTGGTCAGGCTCGATGGCTTGGTTGATGGATGTCATCGGTTCCTAATTGCGGAGATCTATGCTCATGCTGTTGATCACTGGATTGTCTGGTCCAGACTCGATTCTTTACAGACCGCCGCCATATAGCTGGAATATTGCTGAGTGCGGTGTAAAACTGAACTCACTCACTCACTCATGAGAAGAAATGTTATTTTACTTTCCACTGGTTCCTTTCTAGTCGATATCAGATTCTAAAATTCCTGTTTCCATGAGACTGGAGATGATACAATGTCTGTTCTATAAAGACGAGTCGGTGCACGTGAAATGGGCACACATAGTTACATTGTATCAGAGTCAATGAGACTCATGAAAAAGACAGACTGTTACATTTGGGAGATCAGTGAAAATAAAAACGAGGAGGCCCAAAAGAAAACATGATTGATGAGAATCGATTACAGCTCATGTTGTACAAGATTGGACTTCTCATGGGCGTATGGCGAGTAGAATAAAGATGTGTCTTGTAAACAAGACCTTTTATTCTGTGACTTTGATAGGGGGTATACAGCACATGTGTCGGAAAAAATATATTATGTATTTGTTGAAAATTCCGGACAGCATTTGGCATATTGAGTGAGTAAGTGAGTGAGTTGGGTTTTACGCCGCTTTTAGCAATATTCCAGCAATATCACGGCGGGGGACACCAGAAATGGGCTTCATACAATGTACCCATGTGGGGAATCGAACCCAGGCATTCGGCGTGACGATCGAACGCTTTTACCACAAGGCTACCCCACTGCCTCCTTTAGTATATTGAGATCCTTGGCATACGGACAGGAGTAATGGTGTCCTAACATTCCCCCGGCAGTTAAACTGAATTGTAACAAAGTACCCCAGTTATACACACGTAATATGACCGCCTCCGTGGTGTAGTGGTTAGAGCGTCCGCCCGGAGAGCAGAAGGTCGCGGGTTCGATCCCCGACCACGTCAAGCCAAAAGACGTTAAAATATGGTACTTGTTGGTCCCTGCCTGGCGCTCGCCATTAATGGGTACAACAAGGACTGGTCGGCTCGGAGTCTGAGTGGGGTATTGATGCTTCACTGCGGCATGGTATCTCAGTGGGCTAGCACTATAAAACCAGCTTCAGTCTGTGCTAGTACAAGCAGCCGCACATACACATACACACGCATGCACGTCGTCATATGAGCGAAATATTCTCAAGCACGACGTAAAACCCAATTTCACCTCACCTCATAAAATGTTTACCACGAAGCGCCATTACCACCTCACCTCACACGTAATATATCATTTTGAAATTAAAGTCCGGGCTTCTCGGATGTATTTGGTTCGGGTTCACGACAGCTTGGGGACATACAAGAGAACGCTACGTGTTATGAGGCCATGTAATCCATCTGATGACGTCATTCCCCTGTAACAATCTGACTTTACAGACAGCCAACATCAGTAGTCCTGCCAATTCTCCTTACAACCATTCCGCCTCCACCACACAGTCTGCAGTAGCAAGCTTTGAACGTGTAATAGCACAAAGGGACTAATGCCACTGTGTGTGTATCGTCATTGGAGAATGGTTGATATTTGATTTTCCTTCTGGCTTTTAATATCTTCCTTACTAAGTCTTCTTCTCCTCATGTTCGCTACATTAGCCGTTATTGGGCTTGTAAACCGACCAGGCTTGATGTCTGTGGAAGGAAAGTTGAGTTATATGACATGAAGGCAATACCGGTTATATACTTGTATCGTAATGTAATCTGATAAAGACGTCTTTTCAAAACACCACGTGATGTGTGCAGTTTTAAAAAAACTCAAATGATACCATAAGCAAAATCATTTAATTTAATAAGATTTTTGTTTGCTTATTACGTCGATATATATGACGTGCATATCAAGACGATAAGTAGAATAGGAGAAAATTGATTTCTTAATTCACGGTACACAATTGGTCCAACTATGCACAGCAAAAGCGTGCTTCATATATAAAATTAAAGATACACAGAATATAGTTTTATTATAACCTGGAGTAGATGGTATGATAAATGCACATAGCATGTTCTAATTACCTTTTCATTACAAGGAGACATTAACGAATCAAATTCATAAAACGTTGGGAGATACATGTGTGACGTATCTGTATATAGAAAATATAGATGATATATAAAATCATTTGGTTCTTTTTCTCCCCATCATTAATATAACAGATACTTCACGGATTGGAATATTATAATACCGTCCTGTTTATGTGCGAAGATGATAAGAAATGCCACGACATCGAGAAGAACCTGTCAAGATCAGGGTTAGAATTGGTCCCAGCAACCTGGTTATGGTGACGAATGTTCTTGAAGTGAGAGGTGACTCAGGGTTAAGGTTGCCAGGCTCGGTACCGTGGTTGATGCATCACGTCATTATACCCCAATACCGCTCTGTCACACGATTGCTTGGTCCAGACGTGATTCTGTACCGCCGTATAGGCGTAGCGTCCAACAACACAAAAACCCCAAGGGTACAAATCAGGAACGATGAACAAGTTACAATAAATGCCAACAAACAATTCACGTAAAAATGTGTACAATGTATAGGTGGAATCTTACGCCAGAAATAGATATCTGAGAACCAGTCCTATATCGGAATCTCCATGGAAATGTCATGACCAGAAGCAGTAGTTCTAAATCTGACTTGGCTCTGTCCCGGAGATATGTCTGTACCAAGGTCCTCACCACAAATTAACTACACTCAAAATAATTGTAAACATTTCTACCCTGCTTCGTGTTGCATTCATTTTGCCAATCCTTTTTGCAGGTGAGCTGCACGTGCCCCTGGAGGTGTGTGGAGCTGTGGTGAAGCGCGAGCTGGACTTCTGGCAGATGAACGAACATGAAATCAAAGCCTGCTGTTGGCGCCATTACCGCTCCTACATAGAGAACCAGCGGATCCTTGACTCGTTTGACACCTCGCTCCAGAAGGAAAGCTTCACTGTCGACCTGGATCTATTGTCAGGATGGAAGTATTGGCAGACCAAGATCTGGCTGATTCTGGACCACCCGAGGACCTCCCGTCTGGCAATGGTAAGTTCAGCTATTACCGACAGCTGGTCCTCAATCACCCGAGTACATCCCGTCTGTCCAAGGTAAGTGTAGCTATTCCCGACTGTTGGTGCTCGATCACCTTAGGACATCACCGTCTGTCCATGGTAAGTGCATCCTCGATAATCTCCAGGGTATACGTTACGATCACTCTCCACTATACCCAGGACGCATCTACAGTTCCGCCGGATAATTTTATTACCTCCCTTGGCTGGCTTTTTATCCACTCAGGTGTCTACGCTGGGAAGTTGAGCGGACCAATCACAACTCACTTTCGCTTCTTAAATTATCTAACCGATTAAACTTGGCAACACAATTGTTGCAGAGGTACTCTGAAAGAGGTTGAAGGAGTTCTTGCATATATTTTTTTAAAGTTTCAGACCTGTAAATTTTTCTGTATGATTTCCCCAAAAATCTGAGTCACACTGCGAACAAACTTCGCGGCAGCGAGCGCTATCTTTGTTGACACTGGCAAGCGCGGTTGTAACGGCGGCTTAGCTGATTGGCTACTGTGAGAATGCGGAGCCAGCCAAGGGAGGTAATAAAATTATCGGGCCAAGCCGTAGATGCGTCCAGGGTATAGTGTAGAGTTATCGTAATGTATGCCCTGGAGATTATCGAGGATGTGGTAAGTGTAGCTATTCCCGACTGTTGGTCCTCGATCACCTAGGACATCCCGTCTGGTCATGGTAAGTGTAGCTATTCCCGACTGTTGGTCCTCGATCACCTAGGACATCCCGTCTGGTCATGGTAAGTGTAGCTATTCCCGACTGTTGGTCCTCGATCACCTAGGACATCCCGTCTGGTCATGGTAAGTGTAGCTATTCCCGACTGTTGGTCCTCGATCACCTCAGGACATCCCGTCTGACCATGGTAAGTGTAGCTATTCCCGACTGTTGGTCTTCGATCACCTCAGGACATCCCGTCTGGCCAAGGTAAGTGTAGCTATTCCCGACTGTTGGTCTTCGATCACCTTAGGACATCCCCTCTGGCCAAGGTAAGTGTAGCTATTCCCGACTGTTGGTCTTCGATCACCTTAGGACATCCCGTCTGTCCATGGTAAGTGTAGCTATTCCCGAATGTTGGTCCTCGATCACCTTAGGACATCCCGTCTGGCCATGGTAAGTGTAGTTATTCCCGACTGTTGGTCTCCAGTCACATGAGGACATCAGCACATATCTTCATTCCAGTCCAGTCAAGCAGGTAGCATCATACCAGTCCAGCTATTACCACCATGGCGTTTATAGAGGATATTATATGAGTGCCGATGTCATACTATGTTTACGACACGAGTGCCTATTTGTTGGTATTTCCCGAGCGAGAGCGAGAGCGTATTAGGCACGAGTGTCGTAAACATAGTATGATATGGGCACGAATATAATATTCTGTTTATTACCGAAGTCGTCAAATTGAGGAAAATAACCCAAATCTACTTTCAAACATAGGCTGTCTACCCGCCGTCGCCGCATGTAGAACGCAACGTCACAGAAGAAACGTGACGTCATTGCATTGTTCATGACGTCACGTCACCATGGCAAAGTGATATTTTGCCCTATGAAAAATATGAACCCCGATAATTTCGCCCCCGTAGATAATAAAATGGTTTATCAGTATCACACATACCCTAATACCAGTCTAGCACATACCATAAGACGAGTCTATTACGCATCCTCATACCAGCATAGGACACACAAACGGATATAATGGACTGCTCCTCACAGCATCATAGACCCAAACTCACTCACTCCTGCACCAGCAACGTGATGTGATGGGACTAACTCAATATTTCCTAAGTCTAAGGGGCGGTGAGGTAGCCTAGTGGTTAAAGCGTTCGCCCCTCACGCCGAAGACCCGGGTTCGATTCCCCACATGGGTACAACGTGTGAAGCCCATTTATGGCGTCCCCCGCCGTGATATTGCTGGAATACTGCGGCGTAAAACTAAACTCACTCACTCCTAAGTCTGATCCATGGAGGTCACCCCTTGACACGCCATGCCGATGTAGACGTGACCTTCACAGACGAAGCATGTTACACGGCAGTAGTTGCTCGCTCTTCATGCTTGCTTCAATTAAGTAGCATGTCGCCCAATATGCTGAACGTATCCCGATCCATATTAAGCTCATGGTAAGGTCAGGTTGTCGAGCTTCAAGGCTGTAACACAGTGCTTTCATTAAGCCCAGCCTTGTGAAAAGAACCCAGTACGTGTATAGACGATAATTACAAAATTGTATCGCCATGCATTTACATAAGACTAAACCCAATCACCTTGCCTTATCAATACTGTTACACTGTCTGACGCGGAAGTCTGCGGTGAGGATCTAGAGGTTCGTCTTGGGTTGACATTAACGCTTGAGAGTGTATACTCGCAGCTCACCAACGAGCCTATGAATATGTAAATCAATTTTCAGTTTAGCTGATCTGAAGTCTCGCGAGCTTCGCCCTTCTCGTGTGGTTTCGTCTAATTACATATCTGTTTTCCCGGAAACTAATCTCAAGCAAGTTGTCATCTCGGTCTTTGATGACAACAGCGCACCTGGTGTTTATTATTGTGATCACATTTTCAATATGGCTGCCGCTAGCGGCCATTTACGTTTTCTAAATCTGGCAATACACTCGTCTGTCGCTTATGAAAACATCTTTGTTAGGCACTGGCCTCCTTATGACCTAAGGACTTGAATGTTCGTTGCATACCGTTGAATTAAGATCATTATATACTTGAATACACTATGTTAAAGGCATAGCAAAATCTCCGGTGCTTTTAGAATTTGCCGTAAAAGATTTGAAATTTTCTACGTTTTTTTGCAACACTGACTATAGTTTGAGGCGTAATTATCTAGGATAAATGGATTTATGGTGTAACTGTGGGACAATTAATTTCCAATAACTTTGTCATGTGATTTGATTTACGGGTCTTAAGTTTAGCGACTTGATTCTTTGTATGAAACAAAATTAAATCAGTATGACAAAACTAAAACTTAATTTATTTCTGTGCATTGAAAAGACACAGTAATTCACGTAATTACTGATTAGACCGTATTGTACCTGATATGTACCTAATTTGCCACACAGCAGCAGGGATTTACCAAATGTATGTATTGAATCAGTTCATATTAATCTAGCCGAAACAACGATATATATCCAGCCTAAGCCACCATAATAATTCAGTCTGAACCACTATACTATTCACTAATCCAAACCTGGTCAGCGTACTAACCAAGCACGAGGCAACACAACAGGATAGGACAACATACTAATCCTGCCCTGATCGCCACACTAATCCAACCCTGGTCATAATGGTCCAGCTCTGGATCACCACAACTGTTTATCCTGGGTCATCATACTTATCTTACCTACTCGTCATATTAATCCAGCCTAGATTCCCATACTAATCAGAGGTAGACCACTTCTATGCAGCTACTAATCCGTTACTAATCTAGCCGAAGTCGTGAAACGAACCAGCATGCTTTACCACGCTAACCAATACCTAATCAATAGGGGCGGTGGGGTAGCCTAGTGGTTAAAGCGTTCGCTCGTCACGCCGAAGACAGGGTTCGATTCCCCACATGGGCACAATGTGTGAAGCCCATTTCTGGTGCCCCGCCGTAATATTGCTAAAACCGGCGTAAAAGCATATTTACTCACTCACCTAATCAAGATTTAAATCCGGCCTGGTCACCATCCTAACCAACTGAGGTTGCCATACTAATCCAGACTATGTCCCTCTGGATACCATTATTTCTCTACAAGTACCAGATAGTGCCAAGATGCCTCACCGACATTTAGATGGATTGATGAGTTACATGGCAGCGCTCTAAAAGATGCAGATGTTTTATTGATCAATAAGCTGCACTTCAAGGCTATGATTAATTCACAGGTTTTATTTATGAGTCTGTGAGTGATAGCGGTGTCTTGGCTGTTTAAGGGATTAATGCATTACACCGACAACAGTGTTTGCAGTTCGTGCTGTTCTGTTGTGGTGGCTTTTCTGATCAAGTTGGTTTAAGGTTCAGAGGCCAGTTGTAGCGTGTCATGCGTTAACACGGGTCCAGTTCGACAGCCATACACTATAGGCCAATATAATAGGAAGGTATTAATTGGATGAGACAGGTAAACTGGTCAGTATTTGACACCTGAAAAATAGTTTTACAACCTTATAACCTACGTTTTAGATAGTTCTCTCCTGTGTACGAGCTATATTTCAACAAGTGATAGATTAAAACAGGGGCAGTTTTTCCGGCGTTCTTGATTAAGGGAGTCATTTGTATTGTTTTACCCAAATTGATGCTGATTTAGAAATATGGTTACATCTATTTCGTCTTCAATCCAACTCATGCTAGGTTTCGAGAGATGGTTGTAACCATACCGTTAGATAGAACAAATACACGCTTTAAAATTAGATTTGACTGAACGAGATATTATCGAAATGTTACAAGGCTGAAAACAGTCACCAAATGCTTCAAATGTAAAGCCCCGACCGCACCTATGACATCGGTTTAACGAGTGCCGGATGTATCTACATCGTATTCAAATCCAACGCGATATCAGTTTAATACGCGATCTCCGATAGAATCACATCAATCCTTGTCAGCAGCTCGTCCTGCTAGACCTTTCTGTGCGACATATGCGTTATTTCGTGAGGCTATTTGTTCTTCCCAGGCTCCTGATAAATATCAATATAATTTCACTGATTATCTTATATTACATAAATATTAAATACTATTCGTGTGGATTATTTGCTCATTACATCAGCTGTTTCCATAACTTGCCTGCCCCGGGGAACGGTCGCGTTTATCAACGAGTCGGATCTATCCCCACGTGAGGAATCAGGAAACTCGTGTTCTGGGAATTTGTGTATTCAGTGATGCTAAAATCGTTGACGTTCACGTGGTTGCATAGCGAGTTGGCAGATCGGCGAGGCTCGGTGAGGTACATGCGTTGCGTTGGTAAGTTCATGATACCTTGGTGAAGTTCATGTGGCCT